CCATTTCAGAGACCTGGGGCTTTCACTCTTACTCTTGTTTTCTCTTCTGACCCTCCGTCAGTCCCTGGCTAGTAATGCTGCCTCAATCTCTACTTACTTACTTCTGGTCTTCCTGTCTGTTCTGTGGTAAATCCTAGTGTTCTCTCCTAGACAATCTGTCCAAAATGTATCTACTCACTATTCTGGTTCCTCTCCATGGAGAAGGCACATGCCTTCTGCATCTAGTCAGCTATCTTGCTCCCTCTCCTTGTAATTTCTTTCAAAAAATAGTGTGCTCTTGATAATCTACGTAGTCATATGTACATCTCTATATTGTTCATCTGTTTCTCTATCCCTATCTGTCTATCTAATCATCCATCTATCCATCCATCCATTAGTTAGTGAGCCAGCTTTATATTTTACTGTGTTTGAGCTTGTCTTCCAGGGTACCAGTGATGCTTCTATTTATTCATTCTGGAAAAGTAATACCTTAAAAGTTTGCTGGATTCATAGCCCCTTGACCAACAGAGTTCTACTCATGCCTCTCAGGACTAGAAAACTCTCTACTTTCTTCAGTAACTGTGATGCATTCAGCCCACAAGTGTTATGCAGAAAATTTAAATACAAGTCTTTAATTTAGCAGATCCACCCACAAGGTTCCAGAAGCTTAAGTCAGCATGAGTCTTTGAGAAATATCACCCTGGAAAAAATAGTACATGTGAGAAAAATACTGTGAATTTAGAAGCATTTGTTTTACAAACTACAGATGCAGAGTGAAAGAAAATGACATCTCACTTTGATATTAAGCATTCCCCCATAACACATCCATCTGCAACATGTTTTGCAGTCACTTACCCGCTAAACCTCACTGCACACAGATTTGCACATGAGGCAAAATACAGCTGACCCCGTTTTACAGATGGAAAGAATAAAAACACAGAGATATTAAATGAATTTCTCAAAGTTTCCAATCAGTTTTCAGACATCTGCCATTGGGAAGGAGTGAATTAAGTAAGCTACACAAGTTATTTTATTAAAGTTGAAAAATTATATTGGCTCCAATTTCTTCTCTTTAAAAGGATATTTTTGTTTGAGATTTGGTTAAAAGAACAGTCAGGAGATTTGTCTTAAAGTCACTTCTGTGTAGAAAAACTACAGTCTTTAATTAGATTGTATATTGATTTGGGGTGGGCTGGCATGAAAGGCAGTGCTTGCTCAGTGATCTCATCTTTACACTAAAGGGGATGGACAAGATCAGTAGTTCTCAAAGTATGGTTTTCAGACCAGCAGCATCAGCATCACTTGGAAACTTGTTACAAATGCAAATTACCATGCCCCACTATTAACTTACTGAATCAGAAACGCTGGGGGTGGGCCTTGAAATCTGTTCTTGACATCATGCAGATGATTCTGATGCATGGTAAAATTTGGTGACTAAAGTTGGACTGAAAGTTCTCTAAAGGCCTTCCAGCCCTACAATTCTGAATCTGTCATGTTATTAAGATGATAATTTGCAACTTTTCAGACCAGGCGCAGTGGCTCATGCCTATAATCCCAACACTTTGGGAGGCTGAGGTGGACAGATCACTTGAAGTTAGGAGTTCAAGACTATCCTTGCCTACATGGTGAAACCCTGTCTCTACTAAAAATACAAAAATTAGCCAAGCATGGTGGCACTTGCCTGTAGTCCCAGATACTCAGGAGTCCAAGGCAGGAGAAACTCTTGAACCCAGGGGACAGAGGTTGCAGGGAGCAGAGATCGCACCATTGCACTCCTGCCTGGGCAACACAGCAAGACTGTCTCAAAAAAACAAAAGATAAATTACATCTTTTCAGATAATTTTAAAGACAGTTTAGGCTCTTCAAAACACGTTAGTTCATCTTCATGCTTTGTGAAGAACGTCAGTATTAATATTCTCTATTTTAGTGGCAGAAAAGTTGAGATACAAGCTGCAAAACTATAGGAATCAGTATGTGAGACAGTGTAGTGTAATCTCTCTCTTCCCCAAAACAGAAGGCATTTATACTTTCTTTTTGCAGCTCATATTTTGAAACCATAGTCATCAAAGGTAAAGAATCAGCAGACATGGAACCCAGGGCTATTCTTCTATTTACTTAATGATCTTGGCAAGACAGTACTGATTTGTGCTTTGCAGCCTGCAGGTAAAATGTAAGCATAATATTAGCTACTGGTTTCTACTTCGGTCACTGGCGCACACCTTTTGAGTGAGTTCCCCCATCACAGGACATTTACATTATTAGCTCACAGCTGACTACCGTAAAAGATGGTGACCTCCTCGACGACAGGAATTGAGTTTCACCAATTATGAATCACCAGTGTTGAGCACTTATCACATCTATGTATCATCAGAACATAGATCCTGGCTTGGCACACCATCAGTGAGGGTAGAATGAAAGACTGTCGAATAAATAAATGGATGTTTGGTATAATTTGAATGTGTGTGCCTGCCCAAATCTCATACTGAAATGTAATCCCCAATGATGGAGGTAGGGCCTAATGGGAGGTGATTGGATCATGGGGGTGGATTTCTCATGAATGGTTTAGTATCATCCCCCTTTGTAGTTCCTTGTGATAGTGATTGAGCTCTCATAAGATATGGTAATTTAGGAGTATGTAGTACCTCCCCCATTTCTCTCCCTTGATCCTGCTCTGGCCATGTGACATGCCTACTCCCTCTTCCCTTTCCACCAAGATTGGAAGCTTCCTAAAGCTTCCCCCAGAAGTAGATGCCACTGTGCTTCCTGTCCAGCCTATAGAACCATGAGCCAATTAAACCCCAACTTTTTTTAAAATAAATTACCCAGTCTCAGGTATTTATTTAGTGTAATGTGAGAATGGTCTAATACAATATGGTTCTTCTTTATCTTTTCTATTATGACAACATGAAATAATAATAAACTTTTATTTTGCCCTCAGATACTGAACTTAACAAATAAATTTGCCAAAGCAGAGGGACTTTGAGTTGTATGGCCTTATAGTTCTTTCCCATCTCTAAACTTCTTGGTTCAACAAATAATTGAATGGAATCAATCTCCTTTTGACTGACAGTTTTGACAGCTGCTGTTCTCAAGATGTCAATGTATAATCTGTTATTCTACTTACCAAAATTTAAAACTGAACAGAGACATATGTACTGTCAGTCTTATTCCTATGATCCCCAGTTCCTCCCTTCTGCCCGGTTTTATCCTTCTCCTCCCTCGTGTCAGTGAAATGCCTTTAAATTCTGAGCAATTCCGAAGCTCCTGTGCCCCAAGCAAGAAGCAGGATTAGAGATCATCTTCCCTGAGTATTATTACAGCACTTTCACAGTGAAGTCTCCAGCTTTGCAAACTAATGGGGCTTCATAAATGTAAAGCTGTTCAAATAATAAATGAATCTTCTCTTTATGCTTAGCCAAGGGAAGGGGATATTAAAATGAATAAGAGTAATAATAAAAAGCAAGTTAGCAGCATGGGTATAATTAAACTGAATAGCTCACACACACAAAAAATAAAGCTCTGAACATTGACTTCCTCTGGGACACACCCTAGTACACCCAGACCTCGCCTCGGAAAGGTATGCACAGCTTGTCATCCTAATGTAAAACAAACACCTACACTCACCCTCTCATCTACAATAGAAAGGCAAATTTGGCTCTTGAGTCAAAAACTCTTCCATCCCTTGGGAGCAAAAAACACCAATTTTTCTTTTTTTCTTTTTTTTATCCTCACTATTCAGGATACCAACAATGAAATTCCTTGAATTGATAGGACCACTGGCTCTGAGGAAAAGAACCTGAGGCAAGAGTATCTTATTTGCACTCAGTGTTGTAAGTGCATTTTTATCTGGCCAGAAAGAATAATCGGCAGGATGGTAGGAACATTTTGACCCTAAAAGCTACTTTGCAGGTCACCTGGGGCTCTTTCCTTCCAGAGCATTCATTAGAATATGTAAGCTCTGAGAGAGTGAAGTCACTACAGGTGAGGTTGCTATCATCTGCACTTTCTTCCCTGAAGCCATTTAAAAACCCGTAAGGAACCAGTCACCTAAACTAGGTTACACCTACCTTCCTTTCTCAAGAGCTCTGGGTATAAATCACCCTGGGATGAAGATTAGGACGTTATTTCCTCATTACTCTTCATGAATTAAGCTTGTGAGAACATACTCTCCAGATTATTTGTAATTTGGAGACTTTGTGCCTTTATTTATCCATTTTCCTTCAAAGAGACTATTCACAGAGAAACCTCTTCTAAGAGACCCTTATTTTTTAGGAAAACAAAATATTCCCTAAAAAAGAATTATATGTATGAAGTGTAAGATGCCTTAACCTCAAGAGTTTCTCTTGTTCTTTTCTTCCCCTTCTTGTATTTTTTTTTTTTTTTTTTTTTTTTTTTTTTTTTTTTTTCTTATCACGCAGGCTGGAGTGCAGTGGCATGATCACAGCTCACTGCAACCTCTGCCTCCCAGGTTCAAGTGATTCTCCCGCCTCGGCTTCCCAATGTGCTAGGATTACAGGCATGAGCCACTACACCCGGGTTTTCCTTCTTGTACTTTTGAGACTCATGTATCCTCTTTCTAGAGAAGCAAAAGCAAAAGCCTGCACACTTCCATGGACATGAATGATTACATTAGTGCTCTAATTGCCTTGCTCCATAGCCCTTCTCAACCTGGAAAAAATACCTCTGCGGTGGAGCATGGCTTAATATAGAGTTTTCTCTCCTGTCATTCGCTAATCACCATCAACTGACTGGTTCTCAAAGCTGCTAGTTTCATTGAAAAGAGAGATTTCCAGAAAAAGCAAAACTGTAAAGGTCTTCTATTCTATTGCTCCATTTGACGGTTGATGGAATTGACAAGCCAAGAGATGTTTGTCTGAGATCACTGAGAACTCAAATCACACTTCTGAACTCTTTTGTTAGTTTTCTCTTGTGAGACACTTGCTAGTCACAATTTTTACCCTATTTATCATGGAATTCTGAAAATATTAAGTCTAAAATAAAACAAGCTTACTTACCCATATTATAGAGGCTTCCTTACCATCTGAGTGATTTTTGAGAATTGGCTTCCAGCCTTTAGGTCGGCTTCCCTGCTAACAGGTGTGTTGAAGTAGTGATACTGAATGTGTTTTCAAGCTCTGATGCTCTTTGGTGTTCTACTCCCAACAACTGATGCTTAACGAAGTGAGTGCTGCTTCTATGAGTATGGATAATCAAGAGTTAAACAAGTAAATTATGTACACAGGATTATGTCTATGTATTATGCACAGAAAATAATCCTGAAGAGCATATTGAAGCTATTGACTTAACATTTAATTAATTTTACATTATAATTATTTTATTTTATAAAGCAAAAGAACTAGAACTCCTGAGAATATTTGTGTCGTAGGTTTTCACCCAGCTTTACTATTTAATTTTACTGTTTAAGTACGGGCAAGTCACTTAACTTCCCTGAGCTGCAAACACTTCATCTGTGAAATAAGGGCAGATAGTAGGGTATGGAAGGGTAGGGAACATACAGAGGTTTTTTTTTTTCTTTTTTTAAGACAGAGTTTCTCTCTTATTGCCCAGGCTGGAGTGCAATGGCATGGTCTCAGCTCACTGCAACCTCCGCTTCCCTGGTTCAGGCGATTCTTCTGCCTCAGCCTCCCGAGTAGCCGGGATTACAGATATGCACCATCACACCTGGTTAATTTTTGTACTTTTAGTAGAGACAGGGTTTCACCATGTTGGCCAGGCTGGTCTTGAACTTCTGACCTCTGGTGATCTGCCTGCCTTGGCCTCCCAAAGTGCTGGAATTACAAGGGTGAGCCACTGCGCTTGGCTCAGAGATCTTATACTACATTTTCTTTAAGAGACATTCTAGCTTTTCCATTCAGCGAGAGAGATAGAAATCTGGCATAAATGTTTATATATTTGCATATGGAAATATGCAAGTCATTTGGACATAGACGGCAAAAGATTGGGGCAAAGAGAATTGGAGGTACTGGCTGGAAGAGTAGAAGTTCTAGGGAGTTCCCTCCTTTTTTGGTGAACCTGTCTGTTTGTTGGGGGAAGGGAAACAGTGTTGATGAAAGCAGTAAGAAGCCAAGTGTTAATGTAAATCCTCTCTTTTTTTGAGACTTCTGCTTCTGAATCTGTTTCCCTTTAGAAGCAGAGTTCCTGGGCAGCTATAAGTAGCATTCTTCATATAAACGAAATTATAGTTCCAGAAAGTTATATTCTGATTCATGTGTGTGAGTGTGTGTGTGTGTTTATAAAATCAATCTTATAAATTCTTAATTTAAACCAAATTTATGTAAATCAAATTCATTCATATTATAGTAACAGTAATTTTAGCTAAATGATTTATTAATTTTTTAATAAAAGAAAAAATCAAAGGGAAACAAGAACTTACATTTAGACATTGTGTTATGGTGTTGAAATAAACCTTTTCATAGAAAATTATTAAAAATACATTAAAAAGTTGTAAAAAATATTACCAAAAATGATTTTATTTCTTAGCAAATATCACACAGAAGCAACAACAGAAAATAAAATGTGTACTTATTTTGGGATTTCAACCACAAACATACCAATAAGCTGAGAGCTCCTGGCACGGAGCATCATCAAAAACCAGTTGGCTTACAAAGTTGCCAAAGTCTCACACTCTGTGACACACTTAGACCTACCTGAACAATACAGAAGTGAGGTCAGGAGTATACAGAGCCCATTAGAGCATCTTTATCACCAGGCCATACTGAGAATAATTTGATTAAAATACCCAGGAGTGCTCTTTACCACGGAAATCAGTCACCTTTCCAAAGCAGAAGACACGTTGTAAGGAAATGCATTATGGTCTGTTACCTCTGTGCCATTTTTCCTCCTCCCCTAGCCACAGTCACACTTCTAATGCCAACTGGCAGATTCTGGTGGGGTGAAATGCAATGGAAGTCAACACCTTGTATTTTGGGACTCAACTACCACAGACTACCTGATTTACAATGTGAATAGCATAAACATTATTTAGATAATAACAGAGAACAGTTCACTACTCATAGGCATTTTAATCAACCACGAGTCAACATGTGTGGTCAAAAAATAACCTATTTGGTTAGTAACCTTAAGGAAGCTGCTTCCCTTCTCGGGCCCTAAAAAGAATTGAAGTAGCTCAATGGTGTTTAACACTGCCTGCACATTACATATTTTGGGGACCTTTGAAAACTGCTGATACCGAAATCCTGCCCCATGCCACCATTAAATTAGAATCTCTAATGGTAGAGTCTGAGCATTGATATTTACTGGAAGCTCTCTGGGTAATTCTGATGTCCACCCAAGGCTGAGAAGCACAGGTTCCTTTTCAATACAAGCAGGGAAGAGCATCAGTGAGAGTCAAAAATTGACCTTAAGGTTAAACTTTGAAGTTGAGAATATAAAAGAGAAGATGTTTAGAAGGGAACATGCATAAGTTGGAACTACTCATTATAATCATGCCCCACAATCTTGCTACTATGCAGACAGTGCCTGAAAAACCCCAAATTAAATAAAGTCTCATAGAGTCAATTAACTTATTTGAGGAAAACTGAGATTGCTGCTTTCTGTAGTAGTATTCAGACTGTAAAGCTTTTATAATTTTCCATTAGTGGAGTTGCTTCAGAATTAATACGCCACCCAACAAAATAGCACCCCAAAAGTGCTATTGCCTCATTCTGGCAATGAAAGCTGTATTTTCCCTTAGGCCTTGCTTCGTAGGCTGGAGTTGCCATGGGAAACAAAGCTTTATTGGGATGCCAGAACAAACAGGCTCTGAAACCATCCCAGCATAACTTAAAGAGCTGCCTATAAATCAAAGAGAACCCTTAGGTCAAAACCACTTAGACACACGCACACACACACACACACACACACTCTCTCTCTCTCTCTCTCTCTCAAACATATGCATACTCCCTGAAAAATATTATAAAAGGGAAGGCGTGTCAAGGAAATCCAACTAAAATTACTGCATGTAACTAATAACAAAAATTTATATGCCCCTTTCATCCACAGTTCTCAAAGGGCAAAATATGCTAAGATTACTTGTCTTTTGAAACCCTTCCAGGGTTCTGAGGGATGTAAAAGGAGGAATTTTGCATACGAAATCTGGCAAATGGAAGTGGCTGTAAGGGTCATCTACTCCATTCTTTCAAGCATAGTTATGATGAAATGAAGTCATTTTTCTCCTTCTCCTTGGCAAAGTCAATTCTACACCATTCCAAGGTGTCATCTTCCAACCAGCCTGCTGTGTTTTTCTCTCATGAAAGACTGCCTTTTTTTTTGTTTTGGCCATCTCCCAAATTCACACCTTCTAAATGATGTGAAGACCATGGACAGCCAGTGGAAGCAAATGGGTGGGAAACAAGCTTGGAATAATTCCTGGGTCAAAGTAAAGATTCTTGCATATGACTTTATTTTGTTCTTATTATGCCTGGCTTTTTATTGGCTACTAGTCAATGCAGAGCTTAACTAGAATGTAAATGCTTAGGACTAGCATACTTTTAAAAAATCTCTTCACTTTTTTCTTTGGTCATCCATGACTAGACTTGTGCCTCCTACTTATTCTAACTCAACTTTTCTAACTCAGCAATACAGTAAGTGTGTAAGGCAACTATGGGGTAGTGAAAGAAACCTTGCTCTAGTTCTCTTACTGAATTCCAATTTCTCTATTCATTGGCAGGGCGACCTTGGGCGAGCTTTTTTTTACCTATTTGATCTTCAGATCATATAAGGCTTTTATGTGGATTAAATGAGTTATGAAAGATGTATAGTGCTGTAAACATGTAGGCTATTTTCTCCTCTCTTCCTAATGTTAAGAGAATAGAGTGATAACACATACAAAATCTTCTTAAGTACTTCCTCAAACAACTTTTAGAGTAATTTGGAAAGTCCTTTGTGGTCAAGCACTGATCAGATTTGTTTTGCTCACAGTCACTAAACTATAGCTTTACAATTATTCCTATAGTGCCAAGGTTTCATACCTGCATTTTTTTTTCTGTAATGTATATTTTCCCCAGGTATTCACTGGGGCATTTTAGTTAAAATACGGCTTCAAAGAAAAAGCTCTAGAGGGAGAGCTTCAAAGGCTTCTTGCGGGGTCAATTAGCACCTATAAATTTTATCTCTGCTGTTACTAATGGCTATTAAACTGCAGCAAGGCTAATGATGACTGATAACCACCATTTCCTCGGACTGTTGTTATTTAAGTGGAAAATAGCTCTTAACTGTCTACACTTAATGTTCAATGTGTGACAAGTTTAAGATTCATCAACTATCGTAGATTTGAGGTTCTTTTTAAAACTTTTTCCTAAGTTTATTGAAGTAATTCATGTCACTGTGATAAGAAACCTGCCATTGATTTTTTTTTTAAATGTATGGGTACATATTACATGTGAGTATTTATTGGGTACATGTGATATTTTGATACCAGCATACAATGTATAATAATCACATCGGGGTAATTGAGATATCCATCACTTCAAGCATTTATAATTTCTATGTGTTGGGAACATTCCAATTCCACTCTTTTAGTTGTTTAAAATACATAGTAAATTATTGTTGACCATAGTCACACTGTTGTGCTATCAAACACTAGATTTTAGTTACTCTAGCCGTATTTTGGCACACATTCACAATCCCCACTTTCCCCTCCCTGCCCGCTAACCTTCCCAGTCTCTGGTTAACTATCATTCTGCCGTTTATCTCTGTCAGCTCAATTATTTTAAATTTAGCTCCCACATGACTGAGTACATGCAAAATTTGTCTTCCTGTGCCTGGCTTATTTCACTTAACATAATGCTCTCCATTTCCATCTGTGTTGTTGCAAATGTCAGGATTTTATATTTTATGGCTGAATAATATTCCATTGTATTTGTATACCACATTTTCTTTATTTATTCGTCTGTTGATGGACACTGGATTCCAAATCTTGGCTATTGTGAATACTGCTGTCATAAACACGGGGGTATATCTCTTCAATTTACTAGTTTCCTTTCTTTGAGGGAAATATCTAGCAGTGGAATTGCTGGATCTCATGGGAGTTTTATTTTCAGTTTTTTTGAGGAGCCTCCATACTGTTATCCACAGTGGCTGTGGAAGTTCTTTTATTATTCACTCTTTCAGGTAGAAGTTTTGCTGTGTACCTTGCATCAAATATAGCTGAGGTGACTGCCTTAAGGCAATATTTCCTGATGAAATGAATACTGACCTCCATGGGTTCTTTGAACGGTTCCTAAATCAAGCGGGTGCATTAATATCAGAGGGTGTAGAATATTGTCTGTGCCATAGTGCAAGGCTGAATAAAATCTCACCTCTGCCATTCCACAGCCTCTTGATCTTGGGCAAGGTAATAAAGTCCCCTGTACCTTTATTTCCTCACTTACAAGAGGGAGTTGATGAAAGCAACTGCCTCCAGACATTGTAGTGAGTAAAAAAATGAATAAAAATTGTGCAGTGGCCACTAGCATTAGGTGACCATGTGAATGAATTTTTTATTTGATAAGTTGAGTTAACGTCAATAATTTTAAAAGTTCAAACAATTACTTTGTTTAGAAGATCTTTCCTATATGAACAACTATCAAATTATCATGTAATTATATACCTATAGAAATATATACCTATATTTCTATAGGTATATATAATCATTCAATATGCAGATTTTGTTTTTTGTCTTATTTGTATTGTCTGATTACAGAATTAGCACATTCTAAGTCTGTTTTTGAAAGAAGCGAAACATATAAAGGAATAGAAAAAAAACTTCACCTTTATACAGTTACCCAAAAGCATCTTCTGTTTTGTTATATTCTCTTTTAAACAAATTTTAACCTCAGGAATACTAATGAAATAGAAATTAAAAAGGAATATTTTTGGTTTACCTAGCTAGATTTGCTATCTATACAACTTCCTACAAGGACAAGAAAATTGCTGGTTATTTTGCTCCTGAATATTTGGCTTTTTCATGATCATTTCCACCTTCCTTTGATTCTTCAGCCACTTTAGAGCAGGATTCTGAATTCTGACTGCACATTAGAATTACATGGGAGATTTAGCAAACCACTGAAGCAGAAGCTACCCCTCAAATCTATCACAAGAAAATTTGAGGTGGGGCTGGGCATTTGTGTGTTCTAAATTTCCTCCGATGATTTTAATTTACAGTGCCTCTGGGATTACTGCCTCAGAGGGGCTTAATTCTTCCTGTGACTCACTCACAAAAAAAGACCCCACTTTCCTATCTTAAAATAGTAGTGATAAACCATTCTTCAGAGCCACTGTCCTGCCAAACCAAAAATCTCTTTAGCATCAAAGCTCCTGGAAAAGCCATCAGAGCTATGTGACCTGGGTCTTTTGCTGGACTCCTATATGACCTTTCCTTCTTTATGACTGTTTTTGGGAATGTCACATCTGATCAGCTGTCAGTATTCAATAACTTAAACAAAACCAAATCTTCAGATTACTTTCTTTATCACAGCATTTTTCTGTTATATTCCCCATCCCCAAACTCTTATTCTTCACTTAGCTCCTTTAAAACTGCCCTGTCTTGATTTACTAGGCAGATTGTTATCATGCCAAAATAGAAAAACAAAATGTTCTTGAATAAGGTATTGATGGGCTAGGGTCTCAGCACTATCACCTTCCAGATGGGAGGATTTAATAAGAGTAACAAAATGCAAGCCCTTGAGTCCTTGCGTAACACATCTTAGGAGGAACTTTTATAACCATAGCTAAGGTGCCTGCTTTGCCATGAATATAAGTTGGCAAGATTTTCTCATGAAATAAATACTGATCTCCATGTGTGCCCTGAAGGGTTCCCCAAATCAGGTAGGCACATTAGTATCAGGTAGTATAGAATATTGCCTATGCCAGAGAGCAAGAGTGGATAAAATCTTACCTCTGTCATTTTACAGCTTCTTGATCTTGGGTAAGGTTTCCATTTCCCCTTTGTACTTCTCCTTCTGCTTCTTTCCTACAGAAGACAGATAATTTTATTTACCAAAGTGTCCTGAGAATATTTCCTGGGGAGAAATTTCTGCTCCAATGGGGAAAGTCAACTGCATACCTTGCTCACTCTTATGGAAATGATGAACCACATCACAAGAAGAACAGGAAGGTAAAGGAAAGGCATCAACAGTAAGACAATTTCTGAAAATTATAGTGTATCATGGGCATATTCAGTGTATGACAGAAAACCATCTATGGCCCCTTCAAGATAACTTACTCTAAAAATACATTATGTTCGAGATTTCTTGAGTTGGAACTTTTGTTTGGTTAGTCAGTTTGGAGTTTTGGGAAATGTGTGGTTGGGCAGAAGCAGTCCTCAGGGTAGCCAGGCTGTATTCATTCCTCTTCTTCCCCAAATCAATTTACTCCAAGTGTGATATCATGAGTTACTGAGGGCTTCCTATTTGCTGTTCTAGGTAAACAAATCCAGAATAATGTGTCAGTGGGGATATACCCTCTGGGGAAAGATCACTACTTGTATTTTCGTAACTATGCCATTATTTGCCACCTTAAAGTCCCTGATTATGTTTCCTTTGGAAAGATCTACTATGCATCATCTCCTCAACACTTCCAAACAAACTTCTGGTTTCAGTGGAAATACACATTCCTCTTCTGAATGCTCATCATTACTGACCTTTTACCTCTCTTCTGGTCTACTCTCTTTTTAACTTTGAGTTCTGATGTCAATGTCTAATAATGTTTCATGAGCTCTGTTAAACTATGAACTCCATGATGTGCTTACACAGTAATGCTCAGCACAGTGCCTCACATAGAATATGCACTCAGTAAATATTTAAATACTTTTGATTAATGAATTTGTTCCCAATAGACTACACTTATCTTTCCCTTGCTCCCATTTTCTCTTTCCCTTTAGTGAGAAATATAATTGCAAGGATGAGGTGTACCTAGAGACATTAGCATTTATGCTGATAAAAACATTTATCATTCTAATTCTTATTATTTAATGTTTAACAAGTTTTTACATAGTATTTCTTGCAAGTCATAAAAGCAAAAAATTTATCTTAACTCTGGCTAAGCCATGTGGAAAGAAAAGAGGATTGATTAGGGGATAATAAGAGGAAAGCTCTTGATAATCCCTAAAATAGTTGTCTGTCACTGTTGTATAAATGAAGAAGAAATATGCAAAAACACAGCAACTTGGGATTTCGTCTGTGAAAAATAAAGTTCCAACTTCCTCTCTTGTGGTATTTAAATTGCTGAGACATATGACACAAAATAAGAAACTTCATGGTTGGTAATCATATTTAATAATGGTTCACAATGTTGTCAGAGTTCTTTACGTTTATAATTCACACTCATAGAAGTGATGAGAATAAATGACACAAGAAAATTTAGAGGTTGGTTTATCCAGAAGTTGAATGTGAATATTGAAATAAGAAGCTGGCATGGGTATGCTTGACGGAACATTCATGGATAATGAAGTTGGAAAAATTAATTAGTTAAATGTTGAATAAGAAAGACAAGCAAGGAGAAAAAAGTCACCATTAAACTATTACTCAGTGATAATTACCTTTAAAATATTGCTACTTTCTTGTCCATTTTTAATACATATATTTTCCACTAAGACAATCTCTAGGGACATTTGTTTAAAACATAGGATTTTTATAAACGTACGGTTTTATATTATGCTTTTGTACTTTCGTACCAAGTATATTTTTTCTGTATAACTATGTATCATTTGAAAACATGATTTTTAATGGCTCTATAGTATCAGAATATTTGGATATATTATAACATTATTCATTTTTTCTCTGTTGATCATTTAAGTTCTTAGTTTTTTATTTTTAAAAATTCTGTCATAAATGATATTTCAGTACATACCCATGTGGATGTGCACATCTCTGCTTACCCTCTTAATTTATAATTCTCAACATAAAATTACTCATTTTTTTGCATCCTGGTAAACCTACAAAACTAAAAGAATGATAATGTTATAAGTAACCTTTAGATTGTAGTTCTTTATAAGCATTGAGGTTGAGAGCATGATGCATTGGAAAGAGCCATGGCCTGAAATTCAAGAGAACTGATTTCTAATCCTAGGTTCACCTCCAGCCCACTGCAGGCAGAAGGAATTACTGCTCTACCTCGCAGGTAAATTGTGGGGATTCTGTCAGTTACTCATTTTAAGCTCGACTTGATCAGAGATTTTTTTTCACTTCAATGTGCATTGGAATCATCGGGAGGGGCCTGTTAAACAGAAGTTGCTCACACCTATCCCAAGTGTGCTACATTTAGGTCTGGCTGGGGTCTAAGAATTTGCCTTTCTAGCAATTCCAAGATGTTGCTGATGCCTTTGGCCTGGTGACCACACTTTGAAAACCACTGAACCCGAGCATCTGTTTAGATGAGGGATCAAAGTGGTGATGATGCAAGGAAAATGTCTTCATTTATTTAAAACAAAACATAAGGGGTATAAGAATCAAAATAGAACATTTAACTGGAAAAAAAAAGGGGGGGAAAGAATCACCAAATTCTCTCTGCTTGAGTCCAACCATGCCCTTTAAGAATTTTGCTGATTCTTCCCCCAAAATGCCACAACACAGAGATGAGGGGCTTTCCCCTTAATGTTCTAGGTCAAATGTGGTTTCATAGCCCATATCTTGGTTTCCTTGAAAACAGCTGAGATAGCATAGAATTGTTCAAAATTACTTCACCAGCAGAAAGGTGAATTGAAAAGAAAAAACGAATAAGCAGAAAAGTGCCTAGCTTACATAGTATGAATATAGAAATAATTCGATTCTAATATTCTATAATCATTCGAACACTCTATTAGTTCATTATCTCCAAATTGTAGGTCTGAGCCATTGTACACCCGATCCCCCAAGCTGTCTTAATTCCAGCTGTTGGTCCCAGAACAACATAGTAGTGCTCTCGCCTGGCTCCCTTGCGTTCCAGAGCCTGGTCAGCCCCCTTAAGTCCAGAACCATGGCCTCTTTCACCTTGCACAGGCTGACTTCTGGTCACCGTGACTGAAGCTATTTAAGGCCAACCCACTTGGTTTAGCTTAAGAAATGTACTTCTTCCTCAAGAGACCAGCAGAACTTGATGATTTATAAACAGTTGAATCAGCCTAAGTCCCCCAAGACCCAAACTCTTTTCATTATGTATATAGAGATAGGCAAAGAAGAATAATGTTTTCATCATAGCACAATTCCAGCAGGTGTCTAATAAGATTTGCAGACCTATGGTAATTAGGCTGTGGGAAAGAAATAATGCAGTTGGTCTGTCACCGAATATGAAGCTGTCCACAATTAGACTAATAAATGGAAATCAGAATGTTTAGCCTTTGCTTACTGAGTGAATTCTAATTAAAATCATTTCGTGTGACCCCAAGGAATGAATTTAGGACTGATGTGTGAAGAGTACACGGCAAGAATGGGAGAAATAACACTTAGTAAGCACCTATCGTATACTGCGATAAATTGGGGCATGTACTTTCTGAGAGATAAAAGTTATTTAAAAATAGATTCACTTGCCTTAATAGATAATGGATTTGTCTTGTACTGGAGGCATTCAAATTAGATTTTCATTCAATTTCTACTTTTTCCAATAATCCTTCTGGTTACTTCAGTTTTCTGGATCCTAGTACACTTTTTATTTTGCTAGTGCGTCTTTCTGCTTCTATTCTTACCTCCTAAAATCATTGCAGCTAGAGTAAGAATTTAAAAATGTGAAATGCATCATACTTACTCTTAAAACACTTCAGTGACTTTTAAATACGTGTGGAATAAAAATTCGAGCTCTTAACATGCAGTGCATGGCCTGGCTGGTGCTACCTTTCTAATTCAACTTCTTCCACTCTCCTTCATGTACTCCAGACTCCAGACACTGAGCCTTCTTTCTGTTCTGTGGACAGGCCATGCTCAAGCCTTCCTCAACCCATTTGCATTTTCTGGGTCTTCTGTCTGTGACATTCTCTCCTTAAAACAACTGGCCCCAGTTCAGCATTCGGATCTCAGCAAAATGATTCCTTTTTGAAGAAACCTATCTTAATAGCCCTTCATTAAATATGAAAGACCTACTTGCATTTAATCACTTTAAAACCTTTTTTTTTTTTTTGCTTATTATTATTATTTGCCTTTTTTGTTTTTTCTTTTTGTGGAGAACAGGATACTTTTTTTTCATGTCCTCTATTTATCCCACCAGAATGTGTGTTCCAAGAAAAGAGAGGCCTTGTCTATTTTATTCAGAGCTGCATTTCTAGTGCTTAAAGTAGTGTTGGATGGGAAAGAAGGGAAGGAAGGAAGGAAGGAAAGGAGGGAGGGAGGGAGAGAGGGAAGGAAGGAAGGAAGGAAGGAAGGAAGGAAGAAGGAAGGAAGGAAGGAAGGAAGCAAGCAAGGAAGGAAGCAAGGAAGGAAGGAAGCAAGGAAGGAAGGAAGCAAGGAAGGAAGGGTTAAATAATTCTGAGCTACCAAGTTTAAGCAGTTCATTAGCCAATACATGTTTACCAAGTATTGCACACTTTCGTTTTCAAGTTTTGTATGAATTTTAAAGATAATAAACTGACACATAACCCAATCCATGTCCTTTTCCCTATAAACAAATTGTCTTGTTTAATCACTCTGTTTTAGAGATGGAGAAATTGAAGTCTTGTGCAGTTGACTTGCGCGAGTTCATGTGGCAAAGCTGAAGCATGTTTTTTCCACTGCATCACCCTGGAATTTCTTAAACACTCCAACCAGACTTACACCTTTCCTCTAAAGAAAGCAAGAGAGAATTCAGAGTCCTTATTTTTAAACCTGCATTAAATGGAAACCTTTGCAAGAGCAGGTGGTGGTAATGCTATGAATCTGGCTCAGCAAGGGAACACTGAGGTCATGATATTTTTCACATTTAGTAACTTCAAAAATATAGAGATGATGTAAACTTCCTAAGACTTGTTGCCAGCCTAGCGATACTGGTAACTCTGGGCAGGAGGGCACGTCATTGGTCATGACAGGCACA